AACATGCAAGTTCTTCTCAACCAATCCTTGGACACGAATAGATTTAATTTTATTTTCAAACTGAGAGATCCTTCTTCTTTTTCCCTACCAATTAAGACTTATATTCATTTTCCGAAAGGGAAAGGAAATGGGAGTCAAGCAATTAGTCGTTCTCGTTGGAAATGCGAAAGAGAAAGAGAAGAAATTGCTTATTCCTAAAAGCCAAACAACGTACGAGTTTAAGGTGTAAGAAGATGTATACGCAAATGCGTATATATGTATATATATATGTATATATTTGTATAAATGTGCGTAAATACAGGAATGTTATCAACGGTATTTTCCTCGAGTTTAGTACGGAGGTGCTCGTTTTACGAAGTCGGCGTTAATTGCCTCCGGAGATATCCCCGTTTGTACCGTAATTCACGCATAAATACATGAAATTACTTTCTCTTATTTAGAGGCTCGTTAGGCAGATCTACTGTTATTGCCGAAATACTGCTAAGGGTTTCTCTCTCTCTTGGTGGTTTCCATGGAACTCTTACAAATTAGATATCGGATTATTTTCGACGGCTCGGAAAATAAATTGTCTTTTAATAAAATCCAAATAGAAACTTTCTCTCTCCCTCAACCCCCTCCCATCGCCCCGTATTTCCTTGGTCCCTTAGGTAAAGTATTTTTTACGAGTGTTAGGTTAGTTAGATTTTAACTCTCAGACGACACAGGGGTCACAAAAGCGGATTTGGCCGTGGCGAAAATTCAAGCTTCCTCCTGAAGCCCGACGGTGGACACTTTCCACTAATTAATAACGATAAGTACGAATGCGTCTACACCGCAAGGGATAAATCGGCGGTTTGCCAGATTCCCACGAGGTAAACACTCAGGCTGAGTTTAGTCGGTAATGCAGAAATATTCGCTACCCTTAGTCTCATCCTTTTTAACGGCTTTCATGTTTCCTCGATATTTCGACACAACGATCCCGAAACACACCTGTTCCCTTCTTTAACCTTATATACACATTGCAAATATTCTCTAAATTGTAACGATGATTATCACGTATAAAAGTAAGAATGAAATTATCGTGAAATTCAAACAATCGTTTAGTCTTTCTAAATCGAGCATGAATTTTCTAACTAACTGCGAAACAATGGCTGAGACTTTTAATAGCGTTTGATATTAAATTTCGATCACATATACCCGGTTTTATTGAATTACCAATAACCAAAGTGTAGGAATGAGAAGAGTAGAATAGTAGTGCACTTCAGTACGTGGAACCCTTCTTTCAACCCTTTAGATACTACTACCCTTCCATGAGCATTTACATTGCTATGTAACATTCTCGTGTGTTCTTACTCGAGTACCACAACGTGAGAGGGTTTCTGTTTGTATGAATATTAAATTCATAACGATAAAATCTTTTACGACCCAAAGTCAGCGATATACGATACACTCTTGGCCAACCCCCATGTTCTCTCTAACTACGTCTGTGCGGAAACCTCCGACCAAACCCCATAAACAAATTCTCCTTCTACCTTTCAACGGAATACGATTTTTTTCTTCTTCTTCTTTTCTTTTTTTTTTTTTAAAACTCTTTCGCATCCTTTCGATATTCGTTTCTTTCGTAACTTTAAAATTTTTATAACGGCACAGTTATCGAACTAAGTTTTAAAATTTATTATTGTTATTGATTTTATTACATTTTTTTTTATTCTTCCAAATACTCATATAAAAAAAAATACTTTGATAATTATTTGATCATGCTTTGGGCTTGTTATACGTTCGCAAAACTGTGTTTAACATAACTGAATTAAATTAGTGCATGAAATATTATTTTTACATCAAGTTTTAATATTTATTATTGTATTTAATTCTTCTCTAATTTTATATTTTTCTTTCAAATATTATTATGGAAAATATTGTTTTGTAAATTTTCGATCGTGCTATTCACTTTTCATACATTCGCATAATTAATTATATTTCATTTTTTAAGTATGTCAACGTGTGCTTTTAACAATTATTATTATCAATGATTTTTCTACACTTTTATATTTGAAAATACAATCATGGACAAAATATTACAGTTTGTTATATTTTAGATCGTGTTATTAACTTTTCATATATTCACATAATTAAATTATACTTCCATTATTAATTATGTCTAAATGAAGTTTGAACAATTACTATTATCATTTATTCGTATCTTTCGAAATACCGTTATGTTGAAAAAAATAATTAGTTAAATTTTTGATAGTACTATCGAATAATTAATTAAACGCCATTCACAAAAACCGTGTCCTAATTTTATTTTAATTTTATTTTTATCAATTACGCTCGAAAGAGAATCAATTCGATATCATTACTAATAATAATTATGATCAACGTTTCCTACCTCGTCAGATTGTGACACGAAAATTTTATTTCTAAAGCAGTAAGGAAAATGAAAAACCAACATAATATATACGTAAAAAGTCTAAAGTTGAAAACGAACGTGGCAGGGATTGAAAATCCAATTAACCGGGTCGTATTAAAAAGCACGTTTGCTTCAGAAGTAAACCTGAGAAGAAATGAGAATAGAAAAAGGATAGATAAAACATCAAGAAGAAGAGAAGGAGGACGAGGAGGAGGAGGTGGAAATCGAAGGAATAAAAATGTATTTCGTAAATTGGGATTATGAAACAAGAAATATAGGTAGTAGTGTAAGGTGTTCTCAAATAAACTTTGAGCATTGGATTTATTGAAGTGTATAGTCAACGATAACGTCATGATATGAGCTCGTCATTGATAAGCATAAACCCGGCAACCGATTGAACCACTCTCTCTCTCTCGCACACACACTCTAAGGGTTGCATTTTACGAATAGGAATGTAAATCGAATTTCCTAACAGAAAAGTAGGAACTCTGATGATGAAGTAACGAGTAAATGGAAGCACGCTCGTTTATTGACGAAAAAGTTCACCATCCACGGTAATGCGAGGATGAAGAGGAAGAGTGAGTGAGAGAAAAAAAAAGACACAGAAATCAAGAGAGAGAGAGAGAGAGAGAGAGAGAGTTATCAAGTACCGATACCTGCGTCGATGGGTCAGATTGGATCGAGTGCAAAGCAAACCTTCCTTATTCAAACGGTGAAAAACTGCGGTCTCGGGATATCTGTCGATCGATCTGTCGAGCTTCGTGGAAATAAATCGACGTACTCGTCCCACCCTAACTTCCACCCCACCCCCACCCCTTCTTTTCTTTTTTTTCCTTTTCTTTCTTTCTTTAGGTCTCTACGGTCTCATCTACCATTCGAATCCGTTAAAACGAATATTGTTGAATTCGTAATTAGCAAAAGGAAAATCACCTCGATCGAGTTTAATTGGGATATTCATGAAAGTTTTATCGAATAATGTTATATATCCGAATTTTCTATAATATGTAGATTTTTTTGTTTTGTTTTTATATATATATTATTAATCTTGTAATAGAAAACTTTTTTTATCGTACGGTATTATTATTCGATGATGGGATATTATATTGAAAAATGTCTGTTGGATATGAAAAAAATAATAATAATAACAATTATTTGTTTATATCTAAAAGCTCTCGTTATGATTTTCTTCGAGGTTTAATGGCGTACAATACAATATTTGTTGCAAAGTTAATTGTTTGTATTTTATTGTATATTATGAAACATCGTTTGTACGTGTTACCGTTAATCAATTCGTATTGTTTATTTGTTCTCGAAATATTTAAATGGTAGGAAACGCAAATATATATTTCTTTCGTTTATCATTAAAAGATAAAATTGATATGAATAAAAAATAAAAAGGAATAACCTTTTATTATGAAATATCAACACAGAGTAATAATTGAAGAATATTCTTAAAATTATATAACAACATTTAGATCAATTAAAATATCTATCGATAATCAGATTCACAACAGCGTGAAACAATGATACGGATTAAAAAGGGAAATCATGCGTTGTTGCTTGTCACGCGATTTCATCCTGATCCCTATTTAACCCTTTTTTTCTCCCTCTGAAGCACGGTTTGACCATACTGAAAGGGTAGACTGACCATACCACGTATCTGTACAGCAGTAACACGCCTACTATATATTTTCCTTTCCACACAGAAAATTTTTCTCATAGGAGTTGGTCATAATTGCCGGGTAGGTCATTTTTCATTGGTTGTTTCAACGAAAGCTGCCGCTACGACGAGCCCAGGACAAAAGAAGGACAGACGGGATGATTGATGATATTGTTTTTTCGTTCGTTCAGAAATCCAAATTCTCGTTATCGATGGGGATCCATAACGATGCGTTGAATATACATATATATACATATATATATGTATCCTTGATATATATCTATTTATAGTATATGTATATATATATTATATCTATATATCAAAATATTATTTACTGATACGATAAAATATATGAATTTAATGTGATTTATATACAGATTGAAAAATGTATAATAAATTTAATATTTTTTTTAGTATTTAATTATTAAAACAATTCTTACACTATTTTTGAAATTTTTAATTATTTCTTTATCTAGTAATTTATTTTGTAAAACGTAATAATATTTAGTTGAGGTAAAGGTTTCATCGTATACTTTCGATAAAATTGCATAACTTTGACAATATTATATTAATTAAATCTCTTTATACTTACGTAAAGTTGACATATCATACAGTAGTTAAAAATAAAGTTCTGATATTCGTTCATTAGATCAAAAATTACGCAAACAATTCTTATTAAAAATAAACTTCGAAACTTATTAAATTAATTATTAAATTAAAATTAATCGAATGTTCGAAATGTTCATTATCCAATAATTTATTCTCATAAAATAATACAAATAAATCTTAAATAAACGATCATATTATATAAATCCAATTCTCAATTTTAAATTAGAATAATTTCGATGTAAATAAAGTCAATTCAGTCACATGATTAACACATATACATACAAACGTACGTATCCATTATATAGGTCGTTTAGTTTCTACTGAGAAAATCTTCGTTTGCAGGCTACAACGGACGTTATCAGCGAAATGAAACGAAGCTCACGATTAAAAGAACCGATTCGCTTTCTAATTACGTACAGAAAAGATAGCCTCGTCTTCTACCCTTTCCCTCCCCCTACCCTCCCCCTACCCTCCCCCCACCAACCCAATGCCGCCAACCTACTTCCACTTACTTCCTCTTTCCTCTTCGGTTTCCCTTATCGATCTTCAAAGGATGGAAGGAAGGAAGGAAGGACGAGAAGCTTCAAGAAATAAAGAAGAGGAGAAGCTTCAAGAAGAAATAGCTCTCGAAGCGTTATTTACGATCTGGGAATTCTTCAAGCTCTCAGCGCGAATTCATCCTTTTCAACGCGTAACGAGTTCTTAACGTTATCTTCGATTACTATCCACGACGTTTCTTAAACCTTTCATATATATATGTGTTGCCGTTAAAGTTCAAAAACCATTAATGTGCACGTTATCTAGCTAATGTGCACATTAACTGATTTGTTGACGTACGGAATCAAAAGTTTTCCTTCGTTTTATCTAGGTAATGTACACATTAACGGTTTCTGTATAGTTAAGGTATCGTTAAATAAGATGTTTTCGTTGTAGAAATATCTATACGTCAAAGAGCAATAATGAAATTACTTGGTATCCTCGGCAGGGTTTCAGAAAATCTGACTACAAATCTGAATATACTAAAAATTTGTGTACTTATGTCGTAAAAAGCAATTGCTATGTAATTATAAGTGTTACCAATCTTTAGATTGAACTAATAGGTAAGCATAATTTTATCATGTTTTGCAAATTCATTTCATCAATTGTAATAATATTTTAAACCGTTTGATTCTTTCTATTATAATTTTTTAATTGATTCATGATTATTTCTATCAACTAATTTATTTATCTATGATTGTGTATATTAAATTGATTCTAAAAATAAATAAATAACATTTTATTAATTTAAACGTACCAGAAACGTTGTTGTTGTTCCAACAAAGAACTTATTTTCATTTTAACGAGTGTCTAGTAGGTAATGTGCCGATTATATAGATAATTTGTAAAATGAAACAATTTTCGATACTTTAATAGATGCACGTTATCTAAACAATCTGCAGAATAACTAATTTCTGCATTTTAGCGGTAACGTATATATGTTACGGTCAATGTACACATTCTGAGCATTGTATAAATTGCCCGAGGCAAATCTATTGTCCATTAAAATTGAGTAAAGTATATTTTGAGCATGTTTTTCGTGTACAATGTATTGTTCGGTCATATTTTAAAGATTGACCGAAACACGTTACTGACATTGTGTACAATTTTTTCAATTTTCATGATTTGTTTCACTTGCACGAGCTTAAGATAACTTCACCCTTCCTCCTGCCCGTAATCTAAACACAGTTAACTGAAGCACATATACAATACAATACCCGTATTACTATATTGACCGTAACATATATACATATATGTAGTTACGGATATAGATTATATATTGATTAAATTTAATTTATAATATCTATTTTAGTATACTGTGTGAGATATTAAACATCTAGTATGTCGTGGGGGCCACCGGTGACCGGCAAAACTAGAATTATTAGAAACATAATTCGATTCAATTTCCACACACAATGCTTTTAGATTAGTTAATATTATTATCTTCATTACTATAATATTAATATCTATTTTAGTATACTGGATGATATATTTAAAACGTAATATGTTATAGGAGTCACCGATAATCGTCAAAACCAGGATTACTAGAAGCATAAATCGAATCAATTTCAATGCTTTTAGATTAGTTAATATTATTATCGATACTATTATGGTGTTAATATCTATTTTAATATACTGGGTGAAATATTTAAAAAGTATTACATTGTGAGAGTTATTGGTGAATGACAAAACCAGAATTATAAGTAACATAAATCGAATTTAAATTATTAATTAATTATAAATAATGGTTTTAACATTAATGAACATTATTTTTTTACAATTAATCGTACGAGAAAAACATTTCAAAAGTTTCAATACCATGGTTTACTTTATTGACAAATCTCAGGAACAAGATTAACATTAAAACGAATTTTTCGAAGGTTAAATTCAGTTCCAACATTAACGAAATTACCTAAAATAATCTTTTCTTCGATGTTCATTTATTCAAAACTTTCGAATATTACCGAAAAAATAAACCAAAAATGTAGCTCCTCAAAAGTATACAAAATACTATCCACTGTTCCCCAAAATTACGAGTTCAACTCTCACAATTCCCCTATCTTAGTTAGTCGAATGATAAAAGCGAGAAAAGGGACACTGAAAATTACGAAAATTACGAAGGGGTGATGTTGGAGAATGAAGGAATGAAACAGGTCGGGATCGAACCTGCCCCACAGTTTAACTGTGTAACAATTATTCTGATGGGTCGGACAGTTGTTGGGAAGGGTCATTTCTGTCATAGGGATTGGGACAATTTTCTTCCTAAATTAAGGACAACGATAACCCACGTCTCTATTTGTGGTTATAACGTTCCTGTATTTTATACGTGAGATTGTATTAAATATGATCAAAAGAAAAGGAAGGTCCTGAGACATTAGTATTGCGATGAATACATTTGAGAATACGTTTGTTGAAGGAGAACACATTGCTGCTTCCCTTATTGCATTTCGAATGTTCGAGGAAGTGGTGGTCATTGTCGGGTGCTTCTAACGTCAGACCAGACACTGGGGGGTTAAACGTGATCGTTCTACTACTCGTCATCTTCCCACCCCGTCACGTGCTAAGTATTAACCCCTATGTGCTAGTCGGGTCGGCTAATTTGCATACACTCTGTCTATTACGAGCTGTTCTAGCTGACGGACTTCAATGCGGGTCTATCCACCTATTTCTATCTCACTCTCACTCTCTCCCTCTCTCTCTCTTTCTCTTCCTCTTTAACCCTTCAGGGTCACTTGCATAATGAATTTGACTGTGTAGTATCCTTGTACCCTCCATTGACCAATCAATCGATTTATGTTAATCCATAAACTTTGTATTACATCGTTGATTTTCATTTTTTGACTTTAAACACACACTTCGTTCGTATAAATTAATAATGTTCAATATTAAAAATGTATGATCGTAAATATGAATTGTATATAAATGTTTGAAAACAAGTAAATTAAACAAGATTAATTTTTTGTTTGTGTTAAAGATAATAAACAATATTAGTCTAAGTCGTTGAATATCATACAACAATTTTGTTAAAGAATGATCACAAACGATAATTAGAATAATTTCATTTAATTTATTCGCAAAATATATGTTTTATAATACACTTTGTTTTCCCGTCATTCGGTATCGTTCGTTCGTCATTCCACTTCCATTGGTTTTTTAACAGAAAGAAGAAGAAAAAATATATTTTGGAAGAAAAAAATAGACGGTGGGTACCATGCGAATGTTACCACCGTGGTCAGACTAAACGTATTAGCGTTACGCTTGTCGTTTGCTTGTTTCTCTCTCTATATTTATGCACATTTCTGTTCGGTAGAAAGAAAAAAAGACGAAATAAAAAAAGGAAGAGAATGAAAAAGAGAGAGAGAGAGGGAGAAAGACAGAGATAGTGAGAGAAAGATGGAACCCCTCTGACGACCAAGGCAGACATTCCTGCTCTTTATACAAATTGCGTAATTTATATTCGGCAGGAGGGGGTTGACATACACTGGACACTATCTGATTGCACGGCTCGGTCACAAGCACTGTGGTTTCCATGAGTATATATATTTGCTTTTCTTTTTATTTTTCCAATTTTTTTTCCTTTTCTTTCTTTCTTTCTTTATTTCTTTCTCTTACAATTAGTATGAACCAACGAACGTATTCTTTACGATTAAAAATAATAATATTGACGCCAAATGTACAAATTTAAATTCATCTTCGAATTATATTATTATCTTATTTAGTTTTTCGAAATTGATCTTATATAATATTTATCGTTATAACGTAATAGATTATCAGAGATTAATTTAAGCGAATAAGCATTAAATATCGGTTAATTTGAATTCGAATATTTTGGTATATAATATTTGAGGGATTTTTGTTAGGGAAATAAAATAACAAATGGTATCGTTTCTTCTGTTAATTCTTCATAATTATTAATGACGATATTCAGAATAATCGAATGTTTTAAAAAATAAAGCATTAATAAGCTTATTTTTAAGATACCGTTTAATAAACGGTTACCATTAAACAATGTGTTAAAAAATATCAACAAAACTTGATACAGAATAATAATGTATAAATTTTAATTATTATTAATAATAATTTTATACACACACACAAATAAAAAAAATAATTTTCTATCACTAGTCTTTCATTAACTTTTCTAATCGAACAATTTCTATCATACGATATTAAATAACAATAAAACGTTAAATAATAAAAAAAAATGTTATTTATTTAATAACATATAAAGAAATATCATTGAAAAAAACTTAAACGAAACGAGTGAGGCACACAATACCAACTACCAACGAATCGAGTAAAAGAAAAAGAAGAAGAATGAGACGAAAAAAAATAAAATGGGTTGAAAAAAAGTAACAAATCCAAAAAAAAAACATAAAATAAAATCAAAAAAGAATAACGAAAGGGTAATATTTGTAAGTGTATCGCGCGTTGCCAAACTCGTAAAAATAGATCCGTTATTACCTCCCGGATCGTCGCATAAATTCGAAAGAAATTCACGAAGGCATTCCCCATGTATATAACGTCGATTCGTAAAGCAACCCTGAAGAGTGAGTGAGAGAGAGAGAGAAAGACAGACAGAGAAAAAGCAAAAGGTTGTAAGAATAATGGCAGCGAATGGGGAAAGGGGAGAAAGGTGAAGGGGGAAGGGGGGAAAAGGAGAAGAGCAAGAGGATGGTAAAGGATCGAAACCAGTGTCGATTCAACGTCCTTGAACGTCTCGCATGTGCGAGAATCAAGGCGCCTAAGGGGCCGTATCGTCAAAGCCCGGATACTTTTTACGAATCGGCCCGTATGCGTTACTCCTCCGAACGATGCGTTATGTCTGCCACAACGTGTCAGGTCAAATTCTTCCATAACCCCCCACACACCCCACCCCCCAGCCCACCCTTCCACCGTCACTACTCTTACCCCTTTTTCACT